GAAGCTTTCCTGCTCTTCCTCTTGAACATACTTTACAAGCCACTGCTACCAGCCATTGCACTCCAGTGCTGTCAGCTTGTTCAGGTATCTCGTTCACATCATGATCGAACGAGACAGGCACACTGCTAGTCACGCCTTTCTTGCGAACAATACCAAAAGAGATGGGATTTAAAAAAGCCTTCTTCGGGACTCAACAATCTGGACCTACGAGCCATTAGCACAGGACCCGCAAGGTGGGCTCAGTGAATACTAATGGCCCGTAGCCACCACAATAGGCAACGTAGATCCACGGCGAGACAGACAATACAATACGTCTTTCTGATTGTAGTCAGCTCATCGACGCCGACTATCGGCCTTTACCGCCAGTTTGCCGCCCGGATTTCCACGTCACCAAGGGTTTGAAGCGCGGGGTAGGACATGTACATGTACCTTTGCTCACGTGGTGTCGCTCAACCAGGCTTCGAAACACCATCAATCCGCGCCGTTACCGCTTATACCAAGCGTCACTGGGACTTGTGGATATATATATATACATCCTCAACTTACCTTGACATAACCTTTCCTCATCCACAAAGGCTCTTGCGACCACATCATCAGAACTTCAAAAGCAAGACGTCGCCCTCTCACCTGGACATCCTCGCTTATACCGTTCAGCAATACGACTGTATCCCCAACCAACGTTGACAATTGGAGGTCTGCCAGTACTATTCTTATCTTCTCACGCAGTACCTTGCAGTGCCTTTGCAACTTGATCGGAAGCTTACATAACCGCCCGATATTCCGACACGTCAATTGCTATCCTGAACCCGAACCGAATTACATCGAACGAACTTTCAACTTCCGACTTACAGATCGAGAAGAACGTGGTGGTGGTCGCTTCAAGACACTGCCATCTCGACTGCGTTGTGTTATCTGTGGTCCCTTAGCGTCCTACCTTGTGGCTCAACTGCCCGCCGTCAGCCACCGCACCCGCGAAACCTTCTCCGTTCCGAACAAACAGGAGGCGGCAAAGAAGACATATAGACTGTTACGGTTAGGAAGTTCAGAGTGAACATCCTCCCGGCGTCTCCCGTGCTTCACGCCGTCTAGTCCTGTTTGCAAAGAAGAAGGGGTGTGTTGCTGTGGTCTTGGCTGAGCGTACGTTGGGCACGTCCTCCCTACCAGCCAGTCCGTCGCCTACGTAACTGCGCTGCTCCGGAACTCGATAACGCTAGCGCCTCGTCTGCCTCCCCTAAGTCCCCTCCCACAGCTGGCCCATCTCTACCCCACCACCTGTAAACACCCTCGCCCGCACATCTCCAAAAGGTATGTACCCCCGACAGCTTAGCTGCTGCTTCCCCTGCACCGCTCCTTCCTTTTGCCTACATCAGCAGCACGCTGGCCGCTTCGTCGCGGCGCTGCAGCTTGTGTTGTTGACCCTCCTCCGCTTTCCGCCCCGCATACAACAACACGCCCACTCTGGTGTACACATTGAGCCTTTGCTTGACCTCTTGCTAATATCAACACAGAGAGCACTTTGGTTCTTGATCCATTGCTACGAATTGCACGTAAGCTACTGGATATCATGTCCCGCTTCCACAACAACAAGCTAAACATGGTTAGCCTCTTCGACGAGGACCCAGCCACGCCCACCCACAAGCCAACTCGCAAGCGTGGTCGTAACATGACCGCGCCTGAGTGCCATTCTCGCAACCTCCTGCAGCACGACGGCCCTATCGAGACCTATCGCGGCCCAGAAGTCGATAACTCCTACGTTCATTACGGCTACGAGCAAGATATGTACTCACGCGGTGAATATCACGCTATGCGTGGACATGTTGCTCCCGCTCCAGCTCCGGTGAACAACACGGGTTCAGTGAGTTATACCCCCACATATGACAGCGATTACGCCGAGAGCGATCGCGAGGACCACCCCCCATCCAAGATCCCAAAGATCAACAAGGATGGCGCGCCCCGCAAGCCACGCCAGCCTCGTCCCAAGCTGCTCAAGTGGAGTGACAACGATTGGAAGAATGTAGTCCTCGGTATCGTCTGGGCCTGTGGTGAGACTGGTGTTCAGATCCCGTTCGACCAGGCTGGCCAGGTTGTCGGCGAGAGCTGTACTGCTGGCGCACTTCAGCAGGCCATCTTGAAGTTGCGCGGCAAACAGATCGCCGAGGGCTACCAGATTCCATCGTTGAGGATGGCGTGGACGCGCAAAAACAAGCGTTCATCTTCTTTGTCGTCCACTGCTAACACCAACTCTCAGCCAAACGCTGGTCAGGACCCACTGACTCCTTCCCGTCCGTCCTTGATCGTGAAGCTAAAGGTCCTAGTGTCCAAATCCGGCCTTGTCAAGCATTCACCTGGATTCAACAAGGTCGGCGCTGATTGTGTTCACGAGGAGTCCAAGGAGAAAGATGAGATCCTCAACCATCTTCAAGATCAAAAGTCCGGCGAGCCTGATGATGACGTCTTCAAGTTCGACAACGACGGTGCCCAGGACAAGGATGGCTTCGTCGAATCCAAGATCAACGGCTCTGCTGTGAACAACTTCCCGTCTAACGGTAATGTGCCCAAGGATGGTCAAGTCTTCGGTGTCACCATCCCTCACGCGTCCCCTCCCGGCAAGTTTGGCGGATACGGTGGCGACATTGTCCCCCAGCGTATGGCTAACCCATACCACCACACCCGCGGCTCCCACTTTGAGGCATTTGACTTCGATGGAAATGACCGCGGTAGAGAGTTAAAGTCCGTTGATCTTGACTCCTTCGAGTTTGTCGACGAGGACAACGAGGCTCTTCTTAGGCACCCACGTAGTGCGTTCATCCCCGAGATGTCCCCTCTGTCGGGCCATGCTTACGAGAGTCCTTATAGTTTCTCTCGGGAGGAGGGTCAAGATGTTCGTGGCCACTCACCTGTGTGGTCCGCGTCAGGACAGCGAGGAGCCCAAGGTTTCCTGGGCTTGGCTTGTTCGCCGCAAGATGGGCTACCGCCGCTAGAGGCCGGCCACGTCCCTGATCTATTTTCTCACAACGTTTTCGCGAACTGCGGTATCGATCAGGGCCCATACGCCGACGTATTCATGGCCGAGGCTCATGATGGCTATGGTTTCAACGCGGGACATTCCAACTAAAAGCACCTCGCCTCGTCACCCGCCTTCACGCGAGTAATGGTTAAGTTTACACGACTGTAAGAACAACTCATGTGCCTTATGATCGCTTTGCTAACCGTTGTTGCCAGTATGATGGACGGTTTCTTTATGGTAGCACGATATTCACGGCTCACGGATTCTTCATTTTGGCTGCTGGTTTTGCAGTCTGGATATGGTATGACACGACACGGTTACATGAACACACTGGGTGTTTATCTTCTTCATGGGTTGATGTGACTACTTGGCTTGAGACATCTACGTCGGCCCTGATAGCACTCGGCATGGTCTTTGCACTACATGATTGATGGATAGGATACCCGCTTCACGGATGAAAAGTTTAGGTACTTGAGTAATGGAAACTTGAATACCTCTATGGTAACTTCTATTGATGATGATGGTGATGATGCTGCCGTTGATGACGTGATTGGCCAAGTGAGTGACATGATCGGGCTTGACACTTCATTGCCTACCTGAACACGCGGAGTAGCACCTCCCACGCAGAATTCATCGCGCATTTTGCCAACTACGAAAGCCGTCGATATCCGAAAATCGTGTGACTCATCCATTAGCTCCGAAGGGAACGGCACGAGACGCGCAATCAAACGCGAAAAGTCACGGTGAACGTGACGCGTCAACAACAATAACAATCGGTGACGGTGACCAGGGATTTAGGCAACCGCGAAAATACTTCTCCACGCGGACGAGGAATGACGCTCCAGGCAGGCATGTAGTGTTTGCATACTTCGGTGGGTATTTCGAGTGCAACATGAAGTGGTGTGGCGAGCGATTCGCCATGTGTGAATGAAATGCTTTTGTTTTAGCAACGAAGAACTCCATCAATGACGCAAACCGCCATCTCAACCGTTGAAGGCCTTTCCTCTGTTGCCTTGCTTCACATCCCAGATTTCTAAATCTACTCACGTGCTGGCTGACATTCTCATGATCATCGCACGCCATCACAGTAACACCATTGACCCCATTGACACTGTGCTTTCTTAATCTCAACACCAAGTCGACTGTCTCGCCGATCGCCGCAAACTGCCAAATTCTGTCGCAACCCCAACGCAATACTCATCATACTCGATCAACTTTGGTTCCCGAAGTTCCCAAAGTAGACAGCATGGACCCGAGGTTTTGGCCAGGAGGAATGGGCAGGGGTATCGGGGCCGGCATGGCTGGCTTGGGAAGAGGTATGCCCATACCCGGTATGGGCATACCAAACATGCAACAACCGTTCTACCCCCCGCAAGGATTCCAGCACCCGTATCTTCAGCAACAACAAGCACAGGCACATGCACAAGCCCAAGCACAAGCACAACAGCAGCAACAGTATCAACAAGCGTATGCACAAGCCCAAGCCCAAGCCCAACAGCAGCAGCAGCAACAGCAAGCATCTCCCACCCCACTTACAACCCCACCACCACCCAAAGACTCCAAATACCCCCGCTTTGTCAACCCCTTCCAGGACGAGAAGCCGCAAGGGTCTTACGGTAAGCGCGAGTACGTACCGGGGCAGGAAGCGATACGCATTCCACCTGGGCATCGGGGTGACGATCCGTGGACTAATTGGCATATGATGCAGGCAAGGAGGCAGTTGCAAAGCGGGAGGAGGGGTTGGTGAGGTATGACAGAAAAGATGATGAAGTTGGGTCAGTAGATCAAGTCGTGTTGTCGAAGTGATTCCACGGCGAACAATTCATTGTTAGCCATTGCCAGGCTGAAAGCATCTAGTTCGATGCGATATTACATCCTCCGCTCCTCCCTATTTATCATGCTTTCGCATATACCATCCCTCATCCATCCACACACCCTCCTTCTCATATTCCCAGTTGACCCCACATCCCCTCATACTTCCCTCGCCCCAAGCCTAAGTCTCAATCTTGGGCACTGCGACAGCCTCATCGTGCTGCACACTCCTCTTCCTCTCCTGGTTCTGCGCCACCTCGCCCAGATTTATGTCGTGTCCACCCTTGGGATCGATTTCGGCGAACTGGACAGCAGGACGGAATTCCTGCGACTTCCACGCTTTGCTGACGATGCCGTAGAGTTCGTCGACTTGTTCGAGACTGAGGCCCTTGGTCTCGTAGATCATGAACCAGCTATTGGAGAAAGTGGTGTTAGCGTTCGTCATCGCAGATGTTGGTGGTTGAGTAGGATGGTGTTGAGAGCAGGGAGGACTTACACAAAGGCGATACAGACGAAACAGAATGAACCCCACACGAAGAAGACCTTAGATGCCAGGTTTGCGTGGTCTTCGTCGACCATGTACGGGGTTGAGTAGGCAATTGCCCAGTTGAGCAACCTGAGATATGGTGTTAGTCTTTTGCGATACCACGATTGTTTTCTGTGAACATACCAGTTGGATGCTGTGGTCATGGAAAGACATTTGGCGCGTGCCTTCAACGGGTACAGCTCGCCGGTCACAACCCAAGCGACTGGACCCCAGGAGCTGGCGAAGAAGAAGATGTAGATGCACACGAAAGCGATGGCGGCACGTTGAGCTGCGAGATCGGATGTGCCGGCTACCGTTCCTGTGATCGCGACGATATACTGACACACGCACATGCCTATCGCTCCGAGGAGAAGAAGGTTGCGTCGACCGAGTCGTTCAACCATGTAGAGACCCGCTGAAAATCCGAAAGTCAGTATTATTTCCTTCCAGGTTGGAAACGAAGAGCTTACGGAATGTGGATGCGACGTTGACGCAGTTGGTGATGACCTGGATGATGAAGGGGTCTTGGAAACCGGCGTTCTGGAAGTATTGGGTACCGTAATCTGGACATGTTAGGAGTAGTCGCGAACGAGCGTGGTTGAGAGAACATACAGAAGATGAAGTTTACACCAGTAAGCTGTTGCAGCGACTGCAGTAGGCATCCAGTCACGAGACGCTTGCCCAGCGTTCCCTTGAAGCAGTCGGCGTATGTAGACTTTCCCAACGACATCTCGTAAAGATGGTTGGCCTGGACCTCGTTCAGTTCCTCAACGATAGCTGGGTGATCGACCGGAAGACGGCGTAGCTTGCCGAGACTGTCGGCAGCCTTCTCGTATCGGTCCATCTTGATGAGATATCTCGGTGTCTCTGGCAGGAAGAAAAGTCTAGCAGTAGGTTAGCAGCTGGCATCGTATAGTTGACATCAACGCGCTTACCCGCCGACAAGAACGATAGACCATAGGAATTGCACCGCGATTGGAATACGGTAAGATCCAGAGTCATTGCGGTCCTTAGTCGAATTGTTTACAATAGCCGCAAGCAGCAATCCAATCGTGATGGCAAGCTGGTAAGCTCCTACGATCGTTCCGCGAATCCATTTTGGCGCGGTCTCACTCTGGTACATGGGAACTGTCGTCTCGTTAGCTTTGACGCAAGCGAACCAGATGCCCCGCAGAGCCTCATCGATGCGGGGCGAGGGGCGTCAGCCACCATTGACGATCAGCCCCACGATGCCGGGAAGCGGAGAACAACGAGGAAAGAGTTGACTTACTCAAAGCTGAGATAAGACCAACGCCATAACCGGCGAAGAAACGACCGGCAATGAACAATGGTTGCGCTGTCGCGGCCGTCTGCAGAATGACACCGAGGTTGAAGACGACACCGGCAGAAACCATCAAACCGAGGCGGCGACCAAGTAGATCACCAAATGGCGCAGCCGTCAAAGCACCGAAGAAGGTACCAGCTGAGAGAATGGAGACGATCAGAGAGTCCTGAGCTGCTGTGATACTGAGATCTGGTTCGGTGGAGAATTCTTTCTTCCAATAGTCCATGGCAATAATGCCAGAAATGGTACCTGTGTCATATCTAGGGAGATCAGAACGTGCGCGTGATACAACAATGACGTGTAGGCTCACCCGAAGAGGACACCACCAAAGGCGACGAAGAGACCAATTACAATGGCAGGCCTTGGAAAGAGTTAGATGTGTGCATGGTATTGTGTCCAGTGAAGCTTACCATGCCTTACCAGCTGTGTCTGGCGGGGGCTTGAGCATGAAACCCATGATGGCAATGTTCGATTCGACTTCTTAGTGATGGCAATTGGCGATGTCGCGAAACTCGAGACGCGTGGTCAGGCCGTTCAAGGGAGCGCGCAGTCACTCTTTATCTCAGGATGCAAGCTCCGAGCATCTCTCCATCCAGCTCGCGATCCCGACAAACCCTTGTCCCATGCCGCTGCACCTCAGTGCCATATCACAAGTTGCTAATCCCAGTCGGTTTCCCAAGCCAACCATTCTTGCATGGTATGCCCCGCATCATAACATGGAGCGTACCGCAGTTGGTTATTACCCCGTACTCGGCAGGCTGACCTCCCTCACACCACCTACGTCGGAGGCTGGCGACAAGACCAGCAATCATGGAAGCCAGTCACGATCGCCCAGCGGCTGTTCGTCACGGGAGCGAACAAAAACTGTCGAAGTGGTGGCTCAATCAGACCATGTTGACAGGCAAAGCATCATGCCAATTCTGCCCTTCCGGTACGAGCGCGTGCCAGAGCAAAACCATCACGCAGGAAATGCCGCACATTCTGCAGGCAAGGCGACGCGTTCTTCGAGAAGTTTGCCGCTTCCAATGATCGCGTCAACCGTTCGGCATGTCAGAAAAAGGATGGGCCGATTGTCTCCTTGCAACCCCAGGAACTCCAGAGTGGAGACTCGTCGGTATGATTCTCGGAGCGCTGAACATTGGCAGAGAAATGTTTTCCCCGCGCAACACCAAGATGACCACAGCGAAGATGAGAGCGCTACACGTCAGATGCAGCGGCATGTTTTCTTGTCGTCCTTTCAAAAGGGGCCCTAGAAAATGTGTTCGTGACAGTTGTTGTTCTCCTGTGTAGATGCTGTCGCGCCATCCCTTGAGCCAATAAGCCTTCGCTTCCTTTCGCTTCCCTTCGATGTTCAGTGCTCGGCATTGCTTGGACCGACGCGATGACTCGGGGACGTGTGCTTACGGCGCAGCATCTGCATCGCGATGTCGATGATGAGTGGTCAACGGAGCGGTCATGCCTGACATGTGCCGTGCCGTCACCTCGGTCTTACTGCGACGATGAACGTCTCTCTTCCAGGCTGATTTTCGGGATGTGGAAGGATGGTTGAGGTTGATGAAATGTGGAGGTACTCCGGGGTAGCTGCGGAGTCTAACGGGCGCATTGGCGGCGCTGTACGTCAGAGGCATCGACGCATCGCTAGAAGCCACGAAGACGTTTTCCGCGCATCGAAGCTCGATCGCGCAGGTACAAAGTTTGCAATCGAGGCTGCAAAGGGTCTCAGAACCAGGTCCCGGGATTTTGATCTCAGTGGGCAAACTCATCTTACCAGATCCTGGGAAGAAGCCCGCTCGTGTCTTCGGCAAGATTGGTTGGGCATCTCCACCAGGGTGCGACGATCGTAACGATCTGCTGAAAACAGTGGTGACATGTCCACCTAACAAGCTTCTTTGGCAGTAGCCAATTTCGAGTCAGGCATCACGAGTAATGGCAGAAAGCTACTCGACATATGGCGATGCAAAGTTTTCCTCGTGCAACAGGTAGGAGCTGCCACGCACGTGGGCTTGTTGTCAAAGGGTCGAGACGGAAGTCGCGACCATCGCGAAATCTTTTGCTGAGATGAGTAATCGCAAGAGCTATCAAGCCTCATTGACAAAACGTCAAACCACCACAAATCAACGCGAAAGCTAGTTCAGCGACAACAAATCCCTTTCGAGAATGCATTGGTATCTAGCGAAAGGAGCCCATGCTCCTGCTTTTTGTGCTTCCTGCCTTCCAAACCAACAATACACTATGCCTTATTCTTATCACCACTCTTTCTCCGCGCCTTCTTAGACTCAACCTTGGTCTCCTTCGCGCTGACGCCGTTAGGTGTAGACGCGACTTCAATACCGCCGCCCTTCTTCTCTTTTCTGCCTGCCTTCTCCTTTGCACTCACGTCGCCGTTCTTGACCTTTGCAGTTTCCTTGGTCGCCTCCTTAGCGGGCTTCTTGGGCGACTCCTTAGCGGTCTCCTTTGCAGCTTCCTTGGCAGTACCATTTGTAGCCTTCTCGCCCTTTGGCACAACAGCCCTAGGGTCCTTGCCCTTCCTGCGCATTGTCTTAACCTTAGCCTTCTCCATGTACTTCTCGTCCTCATCCTCGTCGAAGCCACCAAAGTCTGATTCATCGTCACTGTCCGCTTCGATGGGCCGACGATCGACGATTTCGAGTCCCGTGGCTGGGGCGTTGGCATTGGCGGTATTCTTGGCCTTTGCAATTGAAGATTCGTTGACGCCGACAGCGTTGGGCGGGGTAGGCGCGATCTTCTTAAACTTGGCGACGAAGAAACCGTCGACGTTGTATGTGTGAGGGTAGTATCTCCTTGTCATCTTCATTGAGGGGTGGAAGGCCTTGCCGCCAATGTTGGTGAAACCCTCCTTGCCGAAAGTGAGGCCGGTCTCTACAAGCTTGACGTTCGGCCGCTTGTTCAATGCATACTGAACGACTTGCTCGTTCTCTTCGAGGGTCACTGAACAGGTACTGTAGACAATGTATCCTCCGGTCTTCGAGTGGTGGTTGACGGAGTCGATAGCGGCGAGCAACAGCTGCTTCTGGAGATGGGGAAGCTTCATGAAGTCTGCTTCTGTCTTGTTGGTCTTGACACTGGCATCCTTGGCGATGACACCGGTACCAGAGCAAGGAGCGTCGAGCAGCACACGGTCGAAACCACCCATGACCCTAGGGAATTCAAGAGCCGAGTAGTGGGAGACGATGACGTTCCTCGCGCCTAGACGGTGGATGTTGCCTATCAGACCCTTGGCACGATCCTTGTTGGCATCGTTGGCAAAGATGCATCCTGTGTTCTTCATCAAAGCCGCCAAATGTGTTGTCTTTCCACCAGGAGCAGCAGCCATATCTAGCACGCGCTCGTTTTCTTGAGGTGCCAGTGCCATAACGGGCAGGAACGAGGAAGCGGCCTGGAGGATGTAGTGTCCAGCGAGGTATTCCTACAAAGGGTTAGTAATGGTGCGAAACACTGATTACATGCCAGGCTTACAGGTGTGGCTCCGAGCGGCACTTGCGCATCGAAAATCTGCAGACCGACTTTAGACCACTTTCCAACGGGCTCAAGTTGTACACCGCGGTTGATCAAGCTTTGCGCAAGTTCTCTTCGGTGTGTTCGGAGGGTGTTTGTTCGGATAACGACTGGTCTGGGGGTTTCGTTGGCTTCGAAGAAGGCTTGCGCTTCGCGGGGTGGGAAGAGGTTGAGCAGCTTGTCAGCTAGGAATTCGGAGTAGCCTGTCAATAGTATTAGTATGCGCAGATGTAGGAGTCTCATGCAACATAAACGTACCGTAGTAAGCACAAATGTCCTTCAAAAGTGACGCTCTGTATTCCGCCCTACTTCGCCCCTCCTCAGCCAGGTTCTTGAAGTCGTCCAGTACACGGATGGTGTCGGTAAGTCTTGTGCGCAACAGCTGAATGTCCTGGTTGACGAGATTTGTGATCGGCCTGCCATCCTCGTCCTCGTCTTCCAGGATCTTAGGTCTCTCCGCGACGATGTTGGTTTGCATGTTGCTCTCCTCCAACTCGGCTTGCGCCTCCGCATCCTCAATCGCCTTCTGCATGTCCAATCGCGTAGACAGACCAGCAATGTTGGCGGCTGTGAGCTTCTCTTCGGCGTCCTCCTCGTCATCGTCGTCTGACCACATGGCCGCGCCTCGCCTGATATCGTCATCCGAATCTACAACGTCGGAGCCAAAGTCGTCATCGTCCATGTCTTCATCGTCTTCGCCTTCGGATGCGCTACCGAGCGCATCAAGTCCGGTGACGTTGATGTTTTCTAGATCGGAATCCTCAATGTCTGACATGTCGTCCTCATCGTCTGAAGGTGGTGCAGGCGCCGACTTCTTTGCCTTTGCTTTCGCTCCGTTCACGACAGCAGCAGCCGTCTTCAGAGGCTGCTTCACAGGCTTGACGGGCTTTCCAGCTACCCTCGTCTTGGGTACCAATTTGGCCTTGGCCTCCTTAGCTTCCCTTGCAGCGGTCCTGCTCCTCTTCTTGCGCTCCGGGTTCACGGCGTCGGGCGCATCTTTTCGCTTCCTCGTAACTAGCGATTCGTCGAGGACATCGGGCATGCCCTGCTTCTTCATACGGCGACCTTGACCCATGGCTACAGATTTATCCCGCAGGTGTTTAGTGGGCGGGAAAACAAAAAGGTCGAATTACTGAGAGATGGCAGCGTGAACCAGCAGCGCGAACACCGAACTTTCGCTAGCACTTTGGAACTTTTTCCACGCTAGCGGACTTCCTTTGGGCTTAGCGCGTTCTTTGCCCTGGTCGAGCTGCTGCGGTCCACTGTCCCGCAACACCAACAGCGTCATCGCACGGGAGCTATACACATCTTCGACCGGCGCGCAATCCCACGATACCGATACACTACTCGAATTCGCATTTAACGAGCCTCCAGCGATCCATCATGTCAGAACTCGCATTCTGCAAATCATTCCTCAGCGCCTTAGACGCCCGCCCACCCAAGCTCTCCAGCGATCACATTGCAGACGCACGCCAATATCCCGCACAAGGCGCAGTAAGTTTTCGCAGCTCATCATCTACAAACCACATGTCTACACGCGCAATGACTATAAACTGACTTCCCCACCAGTACACCCTCCCCCGCCTCCCACACCCACCCCACCCGCAACGACCAAACCCCAAGCCCACCACCAGCGACGATGCCTCCACACCATCTCCCTCGTCAATCTCCGTGACACTCAAGCCCATGAAGCCGACCACACCCACCATCCCACTCAGCTCAATCGACCCATCGAAAACCTCCGTCTACGACCTCAAGCAACAGTACGCGACACAAGCCTCGTTATCAGCAGCCAAGATAAAGATTCTGTACAAGAAGAAGCCGGTCACAGATTCAAAGACACTGTTGGAAGTCATAGGCACAGATGCGGGGAGTGAAGTTGAGTTTGGGGTTATGGTCATGGCTGGCGCTGCTCTTGGCGGGGCTGCAAGTCCAGCGTCG